TCCCTCCGAGAGTCCTCCTTTAATTCTCCTCCTCTGTTGTGGAAGATTTTACAAAGATGGCTCTTGAGGAGAAATATTAAGAAGAACCGAGGCGGCCCACCTTTAGGGAGAGCGAGGGATAGAGCATCAGTGCCCTTTTTCTCTCATCTGCCGCCCCCGTGTGGGGTTGAGCCTGGTGGTGGAGGCAAGTTGGACATGTTGGGGTATACTGCGTTTTTTAAAATTAAGTTTCCATCTGTTTGTTAAATAGAGATATATATTCCTCTGTCTATAACTGGGGAAGGGTGGATCCACAGAAATGTGAGTAAACAGATAGTTCCGGAAGAAGAGGAACTGTCCCCAGAACAGGAAGGACTGAGCTGCCCCAGGATCATGATAAACAGGCAGAGAGAGAGAAGGCCCAACTGTGTGTTGCAGTACAGTGGATTAACTCTGCGTCCTGGTGGAGAGCTGACTGGACAGTCTCTACTGCCTCTCTCCTGTGAGCTGAAACCTCTGAAGAACGCCATGGATTGTGAGATGTCCCTGAGGCCTCAGAACACAATAACAGCGCAGTCAGCAGGGATATGGGGTTTCCCGTGTTCCAGATGCTCCTGCGAGTGCTTGCCCTGCGTCCACTCATCCAGTCCTCAGGACAGCTCTAAGGGAGGAGCTATGATCAGCCTCATGCTACGGCTGCAGAAAAGGAGACGCAGAAAGTTTAAATAACATGGCTCGAGCCATATGCATAGGAAGCAGCAACTGCAGTGCGGGTAGTCTGAGACCAGAGTCCATGCTAGGAATGACTGAACGTGTAACAGTCAAAAAAGATTGAAACAAGCGGTGAGTCGGGGTAGGAAATGCTGTGACTAAGACTTGAAGGACATCAGATGGGCAGTGCGAAGTTCCCCTGGAGGACTCAGAGGCAGTCAAGAGAAAGAGGCTTTTCCATGTGTCTTAGCAGAGCCACAACCCTTGCAGCTAGATGGGACCTCTACCTAGGGGCAGGTGATCGCTAGTGGGAATGAGGTGGAGGTGGTCCCCTGCTCCCGGGCTGGCTACCTGTGGGTGATAGGGAAGTGCGCCCCCTGCTAGTGGTGGACTTGCGGGCTCAGGGCTGTGCTGGTCCAGTCCAAGTTCGTAGACTCGGTCCAATTGGGGAGCCCAGTCCAGAGGGAGGATGAGCTGCTGGCTAATGGTTGCCATCGGTGGAGAGATACCAAATGGTTCGCGGAATTGCCTTCCAGCCGTCAGTGCCACTGAGGGAGAGGTACCAAATGGTTCACGGAACTGCCTACCGGCCAACAGAGAAGCTCAGTAGACCCATACCCATAGATGCTGAGCTACAGAACGCTGTCTCCAGCATGACCCTAGGAAGGAGTGACCTTCTCCTCACAATGAAGGCAGCGTGGGCTTGGAGAGGGCTGACTTGCCCCCAGCTATGCAGCTGGCAAACGCCAGAGGCAGAATGAGTGGACCACGGCTGTGCACTTGATCCCATTGGTTTAACTTCGGGTGCCACGCTGAGACTCTGGCTATTCCTCTTTGTGCCGAATTATACAGCCTCTTCTCTAATTAAGCTTGGGTGCATTTGAATGCCCACACCTCACCTAAAAGTTATTTTATGATTCCCATGGAACTCTAATGAACATAGGTGTGATTGCAATCATCAGGGCTTTGAGGAGGGTGGCAAAAATGACTAATTTCTCACCTTTAAAATCTACAAATGGCAGAGGTGGTGCTTCAGGACCGAGTGAAGTCACAGGTGCAAAAGAATCAGGGCTGTTGGCTTACAGCCAGTGAACTGCTTCATGCTCTCCACAAACCAGAAGGTTCTTCAACCCCTTAGACGAGACATGGAGGTCATATCAGTCTTAGCTCCTATGATGCCCTGTCCTTGGGAGACTTTGGAGGAACAGAGAAGGGTTTTGGGGATCCTTGGGACACAACAAAATATGAGCTACATGCTACTAAACACTTTCTACCTGCTAAGTACTTGACATCAACTTTCTCACTAAAGTAGTGCACCAGCCTCATGAAGTGAGGACTGTTTCTAAACCCATTTTGCAGATGAGGAGATTAAAACCTTAGTAGATGAAGTCACTTGTCCAAGTGTTGTGGCCCCAGAACCTAAGCCTAACCAGTAGGAATATTCTTTCTCCCAGTCTGATGACATTAGCTTACACACAGCTGTTGCAATGGGTTGAGTGTGTGGTCCAAAAGGAAACCGGGTTCTGCCCTATTTTTCAGGCCCCTGACCCCTTGGCCTGGGAGGCCGTGGGAGTCCTGAAGAGGGAGCTCACCCAGCTCTAAGAGGAAGGAAGCACCTCATCATTTCCCCACATGAAGCCTCCCACTTCCTCACCTCTAAATGGATTTGGAAGAACCTCTGGGGATCGGCCTGGGTTGAAGGGTCTGAGGGACACAAAGCCTACATCATCTCAGGTCTGGTCAGAGCGTCCAGATATATCTTTAAAAGCCAAATCTGAGTGATGGACTGGAACGTTCAAGGTCTTTCTATATCAAGAAAAGGAGTTTGTAAGCTACAACTAGGACTAGATATGCAGGATGATTATCCCAGGTGACGTTTCCCTCAGAGGGCAAAATTATAATACAAAGCATGGGATTCGGTCAAAGGTACCTCCCTCCATGACTGGCCTCGAGTTTGGGGCTCAAATTAAGACAAATAGCCTCAAAATTTCCTCTCCAAATGGTGGTGCAGGTTTTGGAAGTGAGACTATCTTTGGAGATAGGTCATTTTTGATACTGATAGAGCATGCTTTCTCAAGGTGATTCCTTGGCCGGCCAGGCTGAGACTTGAACCCATGTCTCTAAACCAAACAAGTCCCAATCCCTGGACTTGTTTATGACCAATTGCTCACCCATGCCTTTGAGTGCTTGAGGCTTTTGTACAGGTCAGGAGCATCTGGAAAAATCCTTCCTCATGATCCCTCTTCTCAGAAGAAAACGGGATATTCAGGCTGTTATAATACAGTCTTAAAGAAGAACGTTTAGGAACTCATGGGCGGGCATTTAAACATCCAATTCCCTGCTTCCATGAGAACAAAATAGAAACTTGTTGCAAGCCTATCCAAAATATTGGAGAACTAGAGTTTAATGAGCAAAACAAACATTTTCACGTGACTCAAGATCCTGCGGTATCTCAAGGTCATTGTCCTAGAGAGCTCTATGTGAAGCTTCTAAGAAATCACCTAGCCTGACATTTTTTAATGGATTTTTTTTGGCCATTTGACCTTTTATGTTTATAGAAGTGATGGTTAAATATCTAATTAATTGAGAAGTTATGGTTGGTTGAATCCTATTTAGCTGAGATCTTTGTATGCTATGCAATCTGCTCTACCAAACAGGCTGTAAAGAATATTTAGTGCAGAGAAATTTCTTGATATTTGAATACTACTGTGCATTCTTCCTCATGTGGAGCACGCTCACTGTAAATCCAACAGGAAAAAGATAAAACACCTGAGTGACTGACACCCAGTTTAGCATCTCCCCAATTGTCTTGTAGTCTCTCATCTTGTGTCATGGTTTACAAGGCTCAAGGGATCAGGTAGAACAGGGTTTTGGCCTCTTCTCAGGCCATATTTGCTCTGGTGGCCATGCTGCTGGCCCCCCCACTCCCCAGAGGGAGACATGAGAGCTGCCTGCTAGCCTGCTGTGACATTGGTGTTTCAAGTCTACACATGGACAGCCCTTCTGGTAGGAGAGCTCCGGAGCCCATCTTTCTCCCTCTGAGGCAGTCAGGTTACTCAAGAATCTGTATAAATAGCAGCACCTTTGCCTGCCTTGGATCATCCTCTCTGGGTCCAGTGATTGCCTCGTAAATCAGAGTTTTTGTCCTCCTTCCTTTAATCAAATAGAACAGCAACAATTAAATGTGTTCTTAGTATAATCACCCTTTCCTTTCTGGGCCCTGGGATAGCAAGTCTCCCCAAGTTGTCTGGTGTGTGTGTGTGTGTGTGTGTGTGTGTGTGTGTGTGTGTGTGCGTTTTCCCCAGGCTTATTTTCAGGGAAGGGATAGAGCCTTCTTGAAGCTAGACAAAGGAAAAGAATTGATGTTTAGGTCTATGGGCAACAAAGAGGAAGTCTAGAAACCTAGGACAGATTCAAGGGGGCTCCAGCAGGGTCGTCCCCCAAGTACTGCACTATCAAGACGAATTACCTACATTCAAGTGCCCCTTGGGATCAAGGGATAGCAAGTGTCCCTCTAGCTCACTCCTGGCCATCAGCGGCTCCTTGTGCCTGTCCATTGCCACAGCTCCACCCTTAATTTTGGCTGCTTCAGTTCTAAATTTACTTCATGACTCTTCAGAAGTAATTTCTCCCACAAGTGGGAAATTCTTCTCTTATCCGTGGCTCCTGTTCAAGAGAGAGAAAGAAAGAGACAGAGAAAGAGGGAGTGTAATAGGTTCAGTTCTTTCTCTTCCTTTTATTGAGTTATTTTCTTGGACACCCTATGGTTCATCAGCCATTGGAAAGGCATCAGATGGTTCTTTTTGTGGGTTAGGCCTCCAACCCCTGACCCAGTGATCTGTGCAGGAGGGATATGGGTGGGGAAGAATGGTTCAAAGGGAGGCCCCACCTAAGCTGCAAGGGTTTTACAATGCAGCTCAGTTTCCCTTTGAAGAGAGTACCCAACAAGATAACCAGCATTTGAGGGGCTTTTTAGAGGAGCCGTAATCTATCCATCAACTATTGCTTCCATGGAACACCTGGTTCCACAGGAGACCTGAAAAAGCTGGGAGAAAGTGAGAAATGTGTCTTCTGCTCTAACCGTCCAATGCACATTTTTTCAATTTGAGGACAAAGCCCGTGGGCGATCAGGCTATTTCAGACTGGCTCCTGCCCTTTCCGACAGCAATGCCTACAGAGCTGCTATTGTTTCCCTTAGGTGACAAATGCCATGAGCCTGGGCCAGCCAAGCCATGCTGGAGCCCAGCTGCTTCCGCACCACCACATGAGAAGGGTGCTTTGTTTTAATTGTCACATTTGTTGTTTGGAAGGATGCTCCTCAAGCACAGAATTTTCTGGGTGACCTTTCCGTAAGAATTGCATGCAAATGTCCCAGTGGAAGGTCGTGATTGGTCTGGAAAGGTTATCTCCATTCGTCTAGATGACCGTCTTCACAAAAGAAGAAAGTTCAGGTAAGGAACCCAGGGCTGGGGAGCAGGCGGGGGAAAAGGTCATCTGATCTACCCCGCTCTGTCTGCCGAGCCCCACCTGCAGGTGCCTGCGTCCGTTTGCTCCTGGCCTGCCACGGTTTGCCTCAGCCTAGAATAACCCCGCTGGCTGGGGCACTGTCCCGAAGCTTCCCCCCAGATTGCCCGTTTCCTGGGAACAGGCTCCTTTTGAGCAGATGTAATGCATCCTCCAGTTGCCCTGAGATAAGCCCTGTAGAGAACTCTCTCCTCTGAACAACTGAGGCTCTCTCGATAGATTCTGGAAGGGTTGGTTGAGGGGATGATTTACTAATTGTTCGCTCTCCAAAAACACTATTTGAACAACTGCCCTTTCTGAACCAGAACCAAACCAAACCAAACCCCAGAATCTCTCTGGAAACTTGGCTGAGATGAATATGTTTCTTATTACAATAGAGTGATCTGATAACCCCTTCTTCCCCATCTCAGGCTGGCAATGGGAGAGGGATGGATTTTCAGTGAGACACACTCAGATTGATGCTACCAAGGAAACAGGCCTCTGTCTTGATTTATGGGGCGGGGGGGGGGGGGGGGGATTTCTTGCCCCTCTGCCCAGTCACTCTCGCTGAAATCAGACTGTTTCTTTTCCTTCTGAGGCGGCATAATTAACCCGGGAAGTCACTCAGGGCAGGGGTGGGAGAGGGGGGAGGCAGGGAGCATGAAGCCTTGGACAGCGCTGTGCATGAGGGAGAGCAGAGAAGGTTCCAGAGGCGTGAGGGGATTGACGTGGCGGGGTGCGAGGGTCTGATGAATCATGTCAGCTGTGGACTGGGGATTCACAACAGCTGCACATGCAAGCCGGGGCGCAGTCCTTGGGGAAGCAGGGGGTGGGGACGTGCGGGCCGGCCTGCCCCGACCTGCCTCCATTAGCTGTAATTATGTTGTGCTTCTGCTTGGGGGCAGCAAGGGCCATCCAGGCCGGATGGCTGCTGGTACTACCAGAGCCCTGCATTTTGAGCCCGTGGTCAGTCAGCTGTAAAAATGGGCCACAGTTGGCAACAACTGTGGATGCAACAACAGAAGGAGTCGGAGGCCTGAAGCAATTTTTCTTTGAAATCAACTTCTAAATTGCAGGGAGTCCAAGTAAATTGACACATTTAGTAGCTCGAGCTCCTTTCCCGTTCCCGCTTCATTGCCTCGGCTGGCCGCTCCTCCCTGGAGCCTTTCTGGGCCTGGGGGCTGGGAGTGGGCTCTGCTCTAGTTTGAGGGGGAAGGGGGGTGGTTTCTCTGGGCGCACATTTTCATTACTGACACTAACGAGTGCCGAGTGCATTTCAACTTACCAACTGAAAACCCTTTTTGCACAAAAGAGACCTGTAATCTGCCAGGGCGGGGGGCCGGGGGTGGGGGATCCCATAAAATAAAAAGCAAAGAAGTAGCAAGTGCACATTGCACGATAAATACGAGTTACCCCACCATGTAGGCTCTCGGTCCATCCGGCCTCCCAGGTAGAGAAAGCCACTTTCTTAGGTGGCAGAATTCTCTTACAATTTAGCTAGTTTGAATCCCGGAGTGTTTCCTGCCCTCATGGGAGCTGAAATCACATGACAGAAGCCGGCCCTCAGGAGTCAACCGATCGATAGGCTGCTTAGTATCTACAGCAAGGTCTTCTTCGCTTTGCCTAGAACTGCGGGCCCGGCCCCGGGCAGCCTTGAAGCCATGGGGGAGGAAGGTGGCATTGACCGTGGACCGTCTCTGTGCATCTGAAGGATGGAGCTGCCGGCACAGGCAGGAATGTAGATCCCCGTTTGGCCACTTAGTGGCTGGGCACAGGACTTTATCTCCTGCGACTCAGGCTCCTGGTCCCTCAGTGGGGATCATAGTAACTAATGAGGCTTAGTTGGGATGAGGCGCCGAGGTACCAGCACCAGCATACTGTACCTGCCCAGAGTGAGTGTCTGCTACTTTTCATCCTCACGGAAGAGCATCAGGCTCACATTTTCACTTCCCAAACTGGGGGAGCTCAGGCAGAGGGGGGTCACGTCCTATAGCATCATCCTCGATGTGAGCCACAACTTTCTGCCTCCCATCCCAGACGCACAGTCCTCTAGCTGGCTGGGTTGGGGCCTTTTGCACCCTGACTTCTGCTCCTTTGCCGCTGTCCTCCCCCTCCCTCCCCTCTCCGCCTGTCCTCACGTGCTGGTGGAGGTCCCACTCCTCTGCGGAGCCTCCCCCAAGTCCCCCAGAAGGATTCCTAGAACATCATTAGCACCACTTGTCTCTTAGCCAGTGTAACACGGTGACACTAATTAGCTGCTGCTGAATCCACAGCGCCTCTTAAGCCAGGGGGCACGAGGGGCTTTCTCTGGGTCTTTACATTTTCCTCACTACCCAGCCCAGGGCCGGGCTCAAAATAGGTGCTCAGTCAACGGAGGCTAATGCACAGAGCGCTGTAAAAATACAGAGTGGCCTGAAAACTGGCCAGAAGACCAGAGGTCATCGGGATTGTGTCTGGAATGGACTGAGCACCTTCTAGGCCCAAGAATGGGGCAGTGGACAAAACACACAGAGAACGAGAATGCACGCACGGCGCTGGGACCGGCAGTTCTTCCACTGGTGGGAGTGAGGGACGCGGAGGGGAAAGGTCACCATGCTCTTGACAGGTATCAGGGTGGTTTGTACTCGAGCTGCATTGGCGCTACAGTCCCCTGAATGCCCTGTCCTGTATGGTTCCAGGTGAGCCCTGGCCTCATGAGGCCAAAATTGGGAAGCGCAAGGTAGAGCAAGAACCGGAGTTCTCAAGCTCCGAATGTGGTGCGGGGCGACCAGCTACCAAATGGGCTTGTGCACACTGCCGCTGGCGCCGCCGGCTAACCCGGGGGGTGCGGGGCAGCCCCTGGCTCTGGGAGTCTTCTAGCTCCCACCAGACCTCCTGCAACTTCTCCAGGTCCAGCTCTGCAGCGCGGGGAGCCAGCCTGTGCTGCAGGTCACCCGCGGCATCAAGGTGACAAAGGCAAAGCGGGTTCCACTCCCCCTGCAGGTTCCGGTTGTCCTGTGAGCCTCGGCTCCCCTCCGCGATTCTAGTTTGTTCTTGCTGTCGCCCACATCCCGCTTCTCAACTGATGACCTGGCTGACCTCTAGTCATGCACCCCCAGTCCAGTCCAGCATAGATCTAGCCCCTGCACATGCTACAGATCCTTCCTTGGGAGATCAACCACAACGGTTCTGCCTCTCTGATTCAACGCCGCCTGATCCCAGGGGCAGAGCAGATCACATTTGCAGACCCTCCTACCGACAGGTACAGGGCTGGCCATGCCTTGTTGCCTAAGGGGTTTCACGTGCACTGAGTCAGCATGGACCCTGAAAATCTCCATCACAGAGGTGAGGGACTGGGGTGCCCAGCGCTCCCTGTCTCCCCTGGGCCGTTCAGGTCGGGGCTGGGGTTGATGCAGAAGTGGTGGGACTTACTCATGCGCGTGACCAGCGCTGGAGGAACAACCTGATCATCAAGGAATGGGTGTGAGAAAGATCCCAAAGGTGCTCCAGGTGGCCATGACTGGCAGGGAGAGGTGCACTGCTTTCCTTTTGGTCCAGCAGATGGTTGCCTGGCTTCCGTGAGAGATGCCTGGGAATCCCATTTCCCAGATTCAGGGGATGCATTTGCTTTCAAAGCAGCAGCAACGACAGCTGGACCTGGTCCTCGAACAAGGATGCGCGGGTGCCTGCTGGGGCCACAAGGATTTTCATAGGAGTTGGCCCTTGGCATGCAGCATTGGAGGGCGCTTTCGCGCGGGGCCAAACATGGTGCCCCAGAGCAGCAAGGCTGCGGGGATCCCAGGCAGGTCGGGATGAGGAAAGACATCCAAAATGGATGTAAAATATGCAACAACATATATATTCACATGAGGAGAACACAGGGACGTGGAGAAAGGAAAGAAATGGAAACCGTAAACCTCCCAAGACGCTGGGTTCTAGAGTGATAAAATGAAACCCTATGTCTGTCATCAGAGTGCCATAATTTTATCATCCTTCCCACGCAGTGCTGTGCTATTTTGGGTCCTGGTTTGTTGGTTTTGTTTTTGTTTTGTTTTGTTTTTTCCCCTCTCTCACCTCTGTGTGCCCAAGATGTCTGACAAACAAACGTGTAAGAAAATGCTTTATGTTCCCCAGCACGGATGGAGAATTTATTACAGGAAACGCCTCTCCGAGCTGCCTCCCCGGGGTCATCATGCTCTGCCCTGTAAAAAGATCTCATCTGAGAGCATAAGCCTAATTAATTTGCCCATGATGGTCTTGTGCCCGGGGAACCGAAACCCTGTTGCTTTTCACTCGGAGGATTCTTTCTCTAAGCCACAGATCCAAGCCAAATGGAAAAAACCTGCCAGCCTCCCTTCTTGCAAAGACAATGTGCCTCCCCTCCCCCGACACAGTGTCCACGCTTTCTCTGTCCTGCTTTGTCTAATTTCCTTTGTAAAAGGGGGGGGGGAAGAACAAAAAAGGCAAAACAAAACAAAAGAAAGAAACTTGGAACTCTTTTGAGGACAAGGAAGGAGAAGCCAGAGGAAGTTGGAAGCATTTGATGTTATGGGATTACGATCTGTTCACCTAAGTGAGTTACTGAATCAAATGAACAATCCAGAGCCTGTAGAAGCCACCGGTCAGCCTTAACCGTGCCACGCCTTCCCTCTTGGCCTTTCCAGCCAGGCCTCCTCTGCTTCGGGACATCTGCAACCCTCTACCTGGGCACCTCTTCCCGCCTTGGATGATGCAGGAGCTGCAGGCTGCGCCCCGCAGGCTCTGGGAGGGGTCTCCCCACTGCACCTGCGTTGTCTGGGCAAGTAAGCGAGGGGCCAGCCCACCTTGGGGGACATCAGTCTGCCTGGAGCCCTGAGGCGGGGACACCCCTGCACAGAGCCCACTGGAGACTAGGTTGTTCTGGCAATGGTATTTGCAGCCACAGGCCCGGCCATGAAACTTAAGGAGAAAGAAGCTGCCATCCATCTCCAGTAGGGAGGGCCCGGGACAGGGCAGTAGGCTGGTCACCAGCCAGCCCGAACAGCCATCTGCTGCGATCAAATCATTTCTCCTTGGAACATGGTGACACTTCACCGTAAGAAGGGAACTGAGCCATTTTGGGACATCGGCTTGGGCCCATTCCAGCTCTAGTAATAAAAAGTTCTGTTTCCCCGGGAGGGTTTATGCAGTGAGAGCAAAAGGGCTACGGCCAGGCGCCCCCAACCCTCTCATTTGTCCTCCAGTCCCCAGGCAGATGCTCTCATATCCTGCCATTTATATGCTTCTCTGTGAGGGAGTCAGACCTAAATGAGCCCCACAGTCTGCTCGGAAGATTTATTTTGCAATATAAAATGCATGACCTCCTCTCCCTAAACCACCTTCAATCCTGCCTCACGTGATTCCCCTTGAACTCTTTACCTGGACGTTTACCATTCCTGGGCAAGCTCTGTGTTTTCTCTGTGTCTTCTAAGACCACAGCATGTCTACACGGAGATCTCCTCCAACATTTCAGTTCCCCAAACGCATCCATTCTTAAGTTTGGGCACAAATGCTACATCCTCCTTGAAGCCTTGGCTGAGACCCCAGTGCTCCTGCCCCCTCCAAGAGGGGATCTTCTTTTTTAGATTTCCCTAGAATTCCCCTATTTGTGGTAGCCTATTTTAGGGGTCCCATTCATTTCTGCACCATTTAGTGGTTTCTAGCTACATGGTACATTATTAAGTACATGGATTCTGGAGGCAGATTTTCTGGGTGCAAACCTGAGCTTAGGTATTTACTGTGTGACCTTGGGCAAATGGTTTAACCTGTCTGTGCATTAGTTTCTCCATTTGTGAGAGGGGGATAATAACTACCACGTATGACTGTTGTACAAATTAAATGAGCAAATTTATGTTGTGTGAAACTATTACTAGCAATGCTCAGGAAAGGTGGTTGTGTTTATTACCATTATTGTTATTATTATTATTATTATTATTATTGTGGCAGGGGTCCATCCTGTCTATCTACCACATAGCGTTTTGCATATTGATGCATGTTTATTTATAAATAAGTAGATGGCCAATGGATCCATAAGACTTCCATTCCTTACAAGTTGATCCCATTTTCCTCCATTAGTTTTGAGTTACATGGGACTTGATCAAACTGATTTGGACTTTACATGGTATTATGAACACACTTTGTAAATATAATGTATGAGATGATCATTCTTTCTACCTCAGCATGCCATCTCATGCTGCCACTGCCCAGAGGCAATATCGAGATGCTCTTGATGGCATTGTGTGGAGGTGACATAAAGCCACTCCTGGCCCTCTACGCATCCAGAGTTCAAATCAAGCCTTCTAACAATAGGTGAATAATAAACAAATCAGGGCACCTGGGTGGCTCCATTGGTTAAGCATCAGACTCTTGATTTTGTCTCAGGTCATAATCTCAGGGTCATGCGATCAAGAGAGCCCTATATCGGGCTCCGTGCTCAGCACAGAGTCTGCTTGAGATTCTCTTTCCCTCTCCCTCGGCTTCTCTCCTAGTTCATGCATGCACACTCTCTGTCTAAGTAATAAAATCTTAAAAATGAACAAATGACTGCTGGCCTCAGTCTATCTGGAAATGCCTGGCATCTCACAATATGACTTGGCCCACCATACAGACACCAGCCCAGTAAGGCCAGATGTGAGTTCTAGAAGTAGAAGTTAGTGATGCAGACACACCCCAGCTCTAGGAAGGGCCTTGGAGAAGCCATGGGATTGTTGTCGTAGACCTGGTGTGAACCCTCTCATTTGGGAGGTGTCTCCACACAAGTGTTGCTGTCCATAGTCTTGTCCTGAGGATCATTTGTAAAAGGCCCTGATGGTTTCGGCTAAACCTGGGTTCTGCTGGTTCTTGTCCTGCCTCTCTTTGGAATTCTAGAGCAGGTGAGAGAAAATATGGGGATGGGAAAGAATGGGGGGAAAGGAGAAAAAGAATGAGAGAGAGACTAGGAGGGAGAGACAGAATATGAATGAATTACCAGGGAGAAGAAGGAGAGACTTCAATGTTGACATCTTTTTCCACTGTTGTTACCATGAATGAAACAATGCAACCTGTCTACAATATCGATCCCCCGAGGGAGAGTGAGGACTGCTGCACCCGGGGAAGACCAGGCACACTGTGCGGGCCAGTCTGCGGGGACAGAGAAGGTGCACCAGCCCAGTGGCCGTGCACCATGGAAGTATCCTGGCCGCCCAGCGAGATGGAAGCATTCACAGTTCTTCTTGTCTTTCCTGATGAAAAATTTGCAATTTTTACAATGTGGCAGAGCAAATGGAACTGTGACTTATGATTCACAATTTATGTCGTTTGCCACTTCTATCATGTTCCTCGCTGGCTTGGAGCTTTATTGCGCTCAGTTTCATGGAGAGAAGCTGCAGAGGCAAGGGGAAGCACGGGGCCCACTCCATCCTTGAAGTCATGTTTACAGCAGATGTTGCTTTATTTATTTAAATTCATTCACTGGACCAAAAAAGTCTTGGAGGAGCAGAGTGGGAGTCCCGAGTTGCTTACAGATCTAGGCGGGAAAGACCAGGTAGGCTCAGGGATCTGATGGGAACAGGAAGGAGAGGAGGTCTTGAATAAATTATCAGAGTCAAAATCCTGCCCAGCGAGAGCTCAGATGTGATTGTAATGCGGTGTAAATTTCTGCAGTTTGTGATGTATTCGATCTCCGTTAACAAGCACCAGAAAACACGAATCAAACCCCATGCAGGGATGACTGTCTCCAGGAGGGGAATCCAAATAGAACAAAGAGCAGTGGCCAGCCACCCCGGGGGGCTTCATTTAGTCCCTCTCAAGCTGCTAAATACAGCAGATTTCTGTTGAAAGCAAATATGATTACGATGGTTTAAATAATTCAAAGGCCAAATAAAAATCTTTGCAGAGTTGGTTGAGGTGTAAAGCACAAATGTCTCACGAGCAATTAATTTCAGTCCAGATCAAAGTGGTAAATCAGGCTGCAGGGAAGGCTCTGCACCTGCCTTGCGGCGGGGTGGAGGGGTGGGGGGCGGTGTGCGCACGCGCACCTTCCCGGGGTTTCTGGGGAAGGCGAGGCTGCTGCCACGTGTCTTCCCTCCCTGCGCAGGACGGTGGAAAGGGACTTGTGTTAGGAGCCGAGTTGTGTGGCAGCCATTCTGAATGTTCCATGCAGAACGAACCTCCCTGGCCAGGCCCTTTGCTCCCAGGCGAGAAAAGTCACGGTTGGGGTGGACTTACCTTGTACTGGGAGCTGTCCTCCCACAAGCTGCAGGCCCTAGATTAGGAGTTGGGGGGGCGGGGAGCATGTCAAATCCCTCACCGCAGCCTGAGGTCATCCCAAATGATATTCCCTCTGTAGGCCCCAAATCTCATCACACAGGCAGGGGCCCCTTCTTTGCCTGAGTACTATCACCAGGGACCCATTCTTTGCTTTGCTGAGGCACACAGCACAGCCCAGAGGAGACCCCAGTACCCCCATGACCACCTTGCCCCTCGCCCAGCTACAATTAACCTAATAATCCTCAGGCAGGGTCAGACAGCCATTTAAAGAGTAGCCAACCTGTTTCTTTTTCTTTTTTTTTTCTTTTTTTAAAGATTTTATTTATTTGAGAGATAGAGTGTGAGAGAGAGAGAGCCCAAGAGGGGGTAGGGTCAGAGGGAGAAGCAGACTCCCTGCTGAGCAGGGAGCCCGATGTGGGACTCGATCCAGGGACTCCAGGATCATGACCTGAGCCGAAGGCAGTCGCTTAACCAACTGAGCCACCCAGGCGCCCTGTTTCTTTCTTTCTTTTTTTTAAGATTGTATTTATTTATTTGACAGAGAGAAAGAGAGACAGCAAGAGAGGGAACACAAGCAGGGGGTTGGGAGAGAGAGAAGCAGGCTTCCCGGCGAGCAGGGAGCCCCATGCCGGGCCTCATGACCCGAGCGGAAGGCAGATGCTTAACGACTGAGCCACCCAGGCACCCCGCCAACCTGTTTCTTACTCATTAGATGACAGACAGAGTTAGTGCAACATGGAGGGGCATCTGGCCAGATCTCCCTGCCATTTTAAAGGAATTTACCCTTGGACCTAGCAACCCCACTTCCAGGCGCCCATGATACACAGATTTACCTGTGGGTGTAGTCGATGTATGCAAAAGGCTTTTCACTGCGATATTACGGTAGCCAAAGGTGAGAATCAACCCAACTATATATTAATAGGGCACAGATTACACAAATAATGGTACAACTGCACAATGGAATACCATGCCACTATAAAAAAATAAGGTAAAACTGCATGAATTGATGCGGAAAGATCCCTAGGATATACTGTCAAGAGAAAAAAGGTGCAGAGCAGGTATATGTCATATACTGCTTTCTACAGCAGTGTTTCTCAAAGTTTTCTTCATTATCATCCCCCCAAGAAACCTTTAAAGACGTTTTTCCCCTGAATGCCACCCCCATGAAATTTTAATAGCATGTGTATCTGTTTCTATGCTGCGTGTCTAATGTATATTTGTGATTTATCCATAAGAAGGGGAAGAATTTTTCGCTTCCCAGAATCCATTTTCACCCCCTTGGGGGTGGTATCACCCCCATTGAGAATGCCTATTCAATAAGAAAGTGAGAAAATAAGTATATTGTGTAACACCCTGGAAGGCTACATAAGAAACTAGTAAAAAGTTGCCTACGAGGAAGGGAAGGAATGGGGACCTGTGGGCAGAGGTGTGATCAAGGTTTCCCATTGCAGCGGCACGTGGCTGGTTCTATTGGTAGAGCGCGCGACTCTTGGTCTTGCGGTTGTGAGTTCGAGCCCCAGCTTCGGTGGAGATAACAAAATTAATGTAAGAAGATTTCCCCCGTGTATTCCCTTTTCTATTATTTTTGTTTCTGGGCTATGCAAATATAGTGCCCATTGAAAACAATGCAATCAAAAGACATATAACTTCATCTTTTTTCTGAAGTAAAACAAAAAACCCCGAGGACATGTGAGGAGCAGTCAAACAAAATAAACAAGCAAGCAAACCCTGCAGGCTGTTGACACTCTTCCCTAAACCAAGCAGGGGGACTTGCTGGGACTAGAGGCCACCCTTCCTGCAATACTGCACCACCTGGGGGGGCCCTCTGCTCCTCAACAAGAGTCTTTTGTCCTTCCCGGTTTATTTTTTGGCAAGAGGAAACCGAGAGTATACTCTGCACCCTTATCAAGGCTGTTTGGGCTCGGGCTCATTTTTGAAGATTGCAGCTTCTACTTGAAAAGCATCAGGCTGTTTCCAAGCCCAGGGAAAGGCTCGCCAGGCTCTCCCAGACAATGGGAAATGCAGGAGGAAATCACCCGTGCCCTCTCTCCCTCCATGGCACGCACAGGCCGTCTCTGGGAGGGAACAGGATGGGGCAACGGAGCCCTGGTGGGGAGAGGTACAAGGGCAGAGATCCTGAGCCCAGGAGATTCCTGATCAACCAAAGCGGGAGGGAGGGGTCAGCTTCCTCCAGCAGAGTGTGTTTCCTCCTCCCACAGGGAGCCCTCCCAGAGGAGGAAGGGCCATGCTTAAGGTTGATTAGTGGACCAGAAATTCCATCGTGGGATTAACAAAACAAAACAAAGCAAAACATCGGGCTCCCACTTCAATGTATCAGCAACTTTAATGTGACTGTGTAATGAGGCGAGATGATAAATAAGATATGCATGATTGTGCCCTCTCCTTCGCTTAAAAATATCAAGTGCTGCAGTGCCTATTTGGCATGAATGGTCTGCCTTTGAATGAGTTTTGTTTTTTCAATGCTCCAAAAAGTGACCTAGGGAGGAGGGAGTTAGTACATTGGGGTCAAGTCCTGGTTGTGCCCCAAAGCCTCAGCGTCCCCATCTGTAGATTGGGTTTAATAATAGCTACCGTGTCCACAAGATGATGCTGTTGTAATGTTGTAAAGGGTGAATGACTTGATCTAAGAAATGTTTCCTAAAAGTAGGATACTTTCACCGTTGACATTGTTACTTCTACAAGACGGAGGGAGGGCGTCTTGCTTTTCAGACCTCAGGAGAGGACACTCAACCAGCTTGAACGGAATTGAAATGTCTCTGCGTCCTTTGAGGGAGATTCTTAGAACACACATTCCCCTTCTTTACTGTGGATTCACTTCTCAACTTCTTCAGAAGGTGGAAGCCACTTGTGAGGGTGTGGTTTGGCTCTCCAGGCTGTGTGTACAAAATGGCCACCTCGAGGCTGGATTTTAGGCCCTTTTGCCACTATTTCCCTTTGAGGCCTCAGGTTTGTCCCTGAACTTGAGTTTTCCCCTTCTTTCCATCTCTAGGTGACGCTCTTTGAAATACACACCGGGAAACACTGCGTGTCAGGAAGCCGAGCCAAATTTCCTTCTTCTCGGCCTCGTGAAGGCTGGCCTCTGGGCTGTAAGCGCCTGGCTCCTCAGCA